TTTTGGGTTGCGGTTTGGACACTCGGTCTCTAAAAGGTTCGCCATCACTGCTGTAGACAGTCCCATGTCTAATTGATGAATCCACTAAACCTCTCTTTTTCTCACAAGCAGTTTACGATCTCCACCTCTCCTATTTTTAGGGATTTAATCGAAGGCTATAAACTTTAACTGGGACAATGAATGAGCACACTCTATAAAATGTCTAGCTACAGGTAACTATGTTAACCTTTGTTTAATAGAGTACTTGTGTCTTACTATTCTATCCTTTACCTTCTGTGTCATTCCTCCTATGTATAAAAGCCCACAAGGGTTCTTGAGAATGTATGTTACACAGGACGGCTGACAAGTGTATCCATTTTTAACATTATATCCTTTACATTCACCGGCCACTTTATTAGGTAAACCTGTTCAATTGCTTGGTAAGATAATCAGCCAATCACTTGGCAGTAACTCAATGCATTTAGGTGTCTAGATGTGGTGAAGATGACTTGCAGAAGTTCAAACTGAGCATCAGAATGGGGAAGAAATGGGATTTAAGTGACTTTGAACATGGCATGGTTGTTGGTGCCAGATGAGCTTATCTGAGCATTTCAAAAACTGCTGATCTACCTAAAAATCAACCATCTCTAGGGTTTACAGAGGATGGTACAAAAAAGAGAAAATATCCAATGAGTGGCAGTTGTGTGGGTGAAAATGCCTTTGATGTCAAAGGAGAATGGACAGACTGGCTTTCTGAGATGATAGAAAGGCAACAGTAACGCAAATGACCAGTCGTTACAACCAACATACGGAGACTGCCATCTCTTGTATCAACATTTCAGGCTGGTGGTGATGTAATGGTATGTGTGGGGGAGATTTTCTTGACATTTTCAAAGTGTACCTAATAAAGCCTGTGAGTGTATATCAGTGGTCTTCAAACTGCGTCCCAAGGGCTGATTGCAGCCCTTTGTTAGCTTCTATCCGGCCCTTTGGGCATTATTTCTCCCACTGACTTGAGGCACTATTCCTAACACTGACACCAACATTGGGGCATAATTCCCCCAACTGACACCAATGATGTGACATTATTCATTCCACTGATAGCAGTAATGGGGCACTATTCCTCCCACTGACACCAAGGATAGGACACTATTCCTCCCACTGACACCAAGGATGGTGCTTTATTCCTCCCGAGGACACCAAGAATGGGGCACTATTCCTCCCACTGACACCAAGACTGGGGCACTGTTCCTCCCACTGACACCAAGGATGGGGTACTATTTCTCCCCCACTGACACCTAGGATGGGGCACTCTTTCTCCCACTGACACCAAGACTGGGGAACTATTCCTCCCACTGACACCAAGACTGGGGCATTATTCCTCCTACTGATACCGAGGATGGGGCACTATTCCTCCCACTGACACCAAGGATGGGGCACTAGTCTTCCCAGTAATACCAATGACAGGGCACTATTCCTCCTCCTACTGACCACAGGCCCTATGCAGCTGTACACCACACCTGAAGCATTGTTTACTCTCACTGATGCCATGCCTGGGACATTTTCTAACCCCATTGGCAGCAATCCGCCCCCCCTAAAGTCTGAAGGACAGTAAACAGGCCTTTGTTTTGAAAGTTTGGAGATGGCGGGTCGACGGTGGCGGTGGGCATTGTGATTGATTTTGGATCTACTTCAAGGGACACTTTTTAAAAAAAAAAAATTTTAATAAAGGACTTGTCAAAGACTGTCTCCTGGAATTTTTACACTACACTTTTTTGTTTTGTGAATGAGTAGTGGTACAATGTACCCCATATTCATTCAAGTGGGGGGGGCGGGATCTGGGGCCCCCCCTTGTTAAAGTTAAAGGCAGCTTCCAGATTCCGATAAGTCCCACGCCCACAGACCCCCACAACAACCAGCCACGGTTGTGGGGAAGAGGCCCTTGTTCCCAAAGCACCCCCCAATGTTGAGGATATGTGACCTGGCTCATTTCCCCCCCCCCCCCCCTCCTTTCCTGACCTGCTGGGTTGCATGCTCAGATAAAGGTCTGGTATAGATTTTGGGGGGGAACCCCATGCCATTTTTTTTTTAATTTTGGTGTGGAGGGCTCCCCTCAAAATTCATACCAGAGCCAAGCAATTCTTTTTGCATGAAGCTGTCAGTGGGAAACCCTACTAACACTTGAAATATTAAAGAATGCCTTCACTACTATAATACTGCATGACTTACTCATGTGGAATTTTAGTAGCTATGCAGTATCTTCCCACATACTCAGATGAGGTAAGATACAGCTTAGTGAATTGTCCCTGTTCAAAGTTTGTGTCAAATTTTCAGTAGGTTCGACCACCAACTGAACAGGAGGTGTTTGGCCCATCACTATCAATCAGATTGAAACAAACAAGAGTAAATTAAAGCATTTTCGGTCATGTCCATTAAAATATTTGCATATAGTTGCATTAGATTGTAAACTCCAAGGAGCAGGGCCCTCCTACACCCTCTTGTATTGAACTGTATTGTCTCCCATTATATTGTAAAGCGCTGAGCAAACTGTTGGCGCTATATAAATCCTGTATAATAATAATATAATAATAGTGAAGTAACATGTGAGCCTACGGATGCAGGTAGCGCTGTTCTGCAAAAAAAAAAAAAAATGTTTCCCAAAATAATTTGTAACAAATCTAAAAACTCAAATAAAAGTTAAAAAGTCTTAAAAAACTTTATATCAAGTGGGTATGACATGCTTGTATGCCCGTATCATGCTGGATTGATGTATATGGACTAGATACACCCCATGATGAGGATGGGGTCGGAAGGCACTTCAAAAATGTTAAGACATTAAAAAATGAATCGGCAGATTCACAAATGTACAATCTGGTTTCATGTAACAAGATACTACATTTTTTTCCCCAGATGTGTGCACCTATTAATTCCATCCCTGCCAAATGGTGGCTCCTAAACATTTTGTGAGAAGATGCATGATTTTCTTTTTGTTAATTTGTCAGCTTATAATTAAAAAACATGAGCAGGGCATTTATTTAGTTAACAGCAGACAAAAAAAACTAAGCTAAAATTAAGGCATTGGGCAAATTAACTTTTTGATAAATTTTACAAAAGCTGATGATCTTGGTCTGGGTATCTAGGCCCCAGTGACGTAACATTTAAAGAATTACCAAAAACATACTCCCCCCCATCAACACAGACTAGTTTTGGGTAGCTATTCAATATATTATGGGAAAACTTAAGTATTCAAGAGAGAATTTGAAAACATGCTGTATGCAAACAGAATTTAGGACATAATCAGCATTTTTGGATTGATGAGACATTGATAAAAGATCTCTCTACTTTCCGTGTCTCAGCGCTGCAATGTCTCTCCCAAGTCGGCATTCATTCAAGCAGGATTGGCTGCGTAAATTGCATCACTGCATTTGTGCCCTGTCTGCGTTTTACTTCCAGGGTGTCATTTTAATTCTGCTCACATCAGATGATGCCAGGGCAATTTATTTTACAGACAGCAGTTTCTAAATCAATCAAGATGTTTCCCTGACCTATGAGATTTATAGGGCTGCTCACTCCAAAAAAACATAATTTTTCTAAAATTGAAAACATCTTACTCTAGACATTTCAAACTGTCAGGGGCAATTTCTGACACGTCCAACACGTATTCTTTTTCTGCAGTGTTACAGAATATATAACTAGCGTTAAAGCTGAACTGCAGGCAGACATGAAAGACACAAAATTAATGTATATCCATATTGATATATTATTTATTATTATTTTATTATTATTTTGTTGTTTTTTTTTCCAAGCAGCAGTATAAGTACCTGAATTTGACTTGATATCAGACTTCCCTATACAGCAGGGATCAGACTGAGGGATAAAGAAGCAGCACAAGTAGCTAATCAGTTCATGTGCCATCAAGGAGCATGTTGATAGGAGCAGAAAGCAAAGTGACAGAGAGACGAGTTCATCACTGTGCTGCCTCTCCTTCACTGTCCATTCACAGGCTGGGGTGGCCATTTAACATTGCTGGTGGTCATTACCTCTTCATGTTGGCGGCCTCTTGGTTGGTGGGTCTTAACACCAAGCAGCTGTTTATATGCGTACCAGAATATAAATAGAGCTGTACCGAGAGTGCACGCTCTGTACGCTTTTGGCACAGTTACTGGTAGCTAATGGAAAGCTCTACATGGGATTTGGGAGCTTTCCAATCATATGACCGCTGTGACAGCCAATCACGACGGTCACATGATCAGAAACTCCACCTCCTGGCAACAGAAACCTCTTAAAGGGGCGGGAGGTGCTGGCGTTAAGGGGTTAAACACTGAAGAATGAGGACGTCTAGTGGCAGAAAAAAGGAACTGCAAAGGACAGCTCTGGACTTAGTGTAAGTATTGCAAAAGCTTTTTTTAAATGTATTTTTTATTTGTCAGTCAAAAATTTATATTTTTTCTGAAATTTTGCTTTAAATTATATGTAACTGTAAGGTTTTAAATCCAATCTAGACATATTTTTAATTTATTTTTAATTTTCTCTGGTTAGGCTGTGGAAGGGTTAGAACCTCTGTTAGGCTCATATATTGCTGCATGTGTCTTGACTAAGGATATGTTCCCTCATTTTACTTCCTGGTGACACCATGTCTGTCAGAGTGTGACAGGGTGTCAGTGAGCCAGGAACAGAGAAGAAATCTCTCAAAGAGTAGAATCCTGACAGCTCTTTTTCCAATATCCAAACCTTCTTGTTTATAATGAGCGCCCTCTGCATTCTAAATTTCACAATATTGGTTTTTCCATTTGTATCTTTCCCAATGACTGAATTTATCAGTAAAGCACAAATTTTGTTCTTACACCTTTTATCTCTTTATAGTTTGCAGCCCCGCATGGTATGTTTTGTGACTGATTTTTGCTTGGAAATGTTGTGAAATTGAAAATTGTGACATTGAAAATGTGGCTGTATGACCTCACTTTCCAGTGCTCTATGCTGGCAGAGCTACATTTAGTAACAGCCTCATCCCTCTACACCAGGGGCAGACTGACAACTCATGGGGCCCCGGGCAATAGGGGATCATGGGGCCCCTGTGTCCTTGCCCAAACTCAAAAAAGCCTATGAAAAAGGTACCAGGGGCATCTCATGGGGCCCCCTACTGACCTCGGGCCCTCGGGCAGTGCCCGAGTTTCCAAATGGTCAGTCCGCCCCTGCTCTGCACATATCTTCACTTGTATTTCAGAGGAAGAGAAGTAGTGTGACAGAACAGGGCTGTTACTGGGAGCTGATTACTGAGTGCACTGGGTCTAAGTCTGGTGACTCTTGGACATTTTTAGATTTCCTGTACTAAACTGCTGCAACAAGTAAATAAGAGGTAGGGGTATGAAGACAAAGGTTGTCAGTACAATGGCAGTTTGTCTATTTGTGTGACTTAATTTGGGCTTTACAAGAGATTACAGGGAGCTCTGGTGTACTTGCTCTGGATACTGGGGAGTAAAGGTTTCAATCCACTATAACAAGACCCTAGTGCCAGACCAGTCCTTTCATCAAAAATTTCCATAAAAGTATAAGGGCATTTACCAGATAGAATGAATGTTTTTTGTCTGTAAAAGTCTCCCATGTTTAGACATCCAAAAGCCCTGAGACAGCTGCCCAGAACCACCATCTTGGTTGTCATGTCAAACCCAGCAGACTCAAAGCTATCACTCAAGTGACACTCTATAGCACACATGTCAAACACAAGGCCTGAGGCCCGAATCTGGCCTGCCAGGCCATTTCATGTGGCCCTTGCACCTCTCATTCAGCAGCAGCACCCCCTTCACCTCCGCCTCCACCTTTTCTCAGCAGTTGGCACAGAAAGGAGAACAGAACTCCTCCTCCAGATCCTGTGCTTCTCCATGCAGCTGCAAAGAAGCTAATTTCTGCCACCCTCTCCTGTCTCAGCAGTAGAGAAGAGGACAGAACTCCTCTTACAATTCCCGCACCTCTCTGTGCAGCCATAAAACCTCTTCAGCTCCACCTCTCCTGGTCTCAGCATTCAGTAGGCTCCGCCAGCTGACTCCAGCCCTCCTCTGGTCCTCCTCCAGACACTGCGTTTTCTGCTTCTCAGCTCTGCCCCCAGCTTCTTCCTGGCAGCAGCATAAGATAAGGGGGTACACTGTGATGTAAAGGAGGGTGGGGGACTCTTGACATCTGATGTAAAGGGGGGTGGGGGACTCTTGACATCTGATGTAAAGGGGGGTGAGGTTCTCTGGACATCTAGTCCTACAGATACAATCAGCCCTTTGAGGGCAACCATAATGCTGATGTGGCCCACGATTAAATTGTGTTTGACACCCCTGCTCTATAGTATTCCTCTTCACGCCTCCCTGGCTGCTACATATAAAATCATGTAGTAAGGTGAATGGAGGGATGGAGGAGCTGGGCCAGCACATTCCCAGAGAGAAAATGGATAAGACATGCAAATTTTCAAAGGCACATTGCAATTGGATAAAATGTATTTACCCGTATTTGCCGGCGTATAAGACGACTTTTTGACCCTTGAAAATCTTCTCAAAAGTCGGGGGTCGTCTTCTACGCCGGTACACATGTTAGGGGGGCTGCGGCATTAAGTACAGGGGTTTGCAGGGGCTGATGTCCCTTACCTGGATCCAGTCCCACGACGATCCGGTCCAGGAAGCGCGGCGTCTCCTTCAGTTCAGCCACTGGATGTTCGTGCGGCTGCTCGGCTCCGCCTCCTCACCGGTGATTGGCCGCCAGAACTGTAGCTCAGGAAAGGCACACAGGCGGCCAATCACCGGCGAGGGGGCGGAGCCGAGCGGCCCCGCGAAAATTGAGTGCCGGAGCAGCAGGTAAGTGTTCTGTGTAGAGGTGCTGCTGCAACCACATATGCTGGCTGCAGCAGCACCATACGAGAACAGGGTCAGCAAATCTCAGTGGGAGGAATAGTGCCCCATCATTGGTGTCACTGATACCAATGATGGGGCACTATTCCTCCCACTGATACCAACGATGGGGCACTATTCCTCCCCCCCACTGACACCAATGATGGGGCACTATTCCTCCCCCCCACTGACACCAACGATGGGGCACTATTCCCCCCCCCCCCACTGACACCAACGATGGGGCACTATTCCACCCCCCACTGACACCAATGATGGGGCACTATTCCACCCCTCACTGACACCAATGATGGGACACCATTCCTCCCACTGACACCAATGATGGGGCACTATTCCTCCCACTGACACCAACGATGGGGCACTATTCCTCCCACTGACACCAATGATGGGGCACTGACTGACACCAATGATGGGGCACTATTCCTCCCACTGACACCAATGATGGGGCACCATTCCTGCCACTGATACCAATGATGGGGCACCTATTCCCCCCCCACTGATACCAATGATGGGGCACTATTCCTCCCACTGATACCAATGATGGGGCACTATTCCTGCCTGACTGATTCCTCCCACTGACACAATGATGGGGCACTATTCCTCCCACTGACACCAATGATGGGGCACTATTCCTCCCACTGATACCAATGATGGGGCACTATTCCTCCCACTGACACCAATGATGGAGCACTATTCCTCCACTGATACTAATGATAGGGGCACTATTCCTCCCACTGACACCAATGATGGAGCACTATTCCTCCACTGATACCAATGATGGGGCACTATTCCTGCCACTAACTGCCAATGATGGGGCACTATTCCCCCCACTGACACCAATGATGGAGCACTATTCCTCCACTGATACCAATGATGGGGCACTATTCCTGCCACTAATGCCAACTGATGATAGGGCACTATTCCTCCTGCCCACTAATACCCTCCAATGATACCAATGATGGGGCACTATTCCTGCCACTAATACCAATGATGGGGCACTATTCCTGCCACTAATACCAATGATGGGGCACTATTCCTCCCACTGACATCAATGATGGGGCACTATTCCTCCCACTGGTGTGCATTGGAAGAGGGGTAGTCTTATACGGCGAGTATAGCCCAAACACTACATTTTAGCAGGAAAAGTAGGGGGGTCGTCTTATATGCCCAGTCGTCTTATACGCCGGCAAATACGGTACATGTAAGTATGTAAAATACTTGATTTTTCTGTGCTTTTACATGCACTTTTTTAGTTGGTGACAGCGTCTCTTTAAACACATCTCAGGTTATAGGAAACGTTGTTTGGATTTTTTCTTGTTTGCTTTAGCACAACTACAGCTATTTTTCCTACATACGCAGATTACACTTGCTGCCTTAAGTGGCCCTGATGAGTAATGAAGCGGCTAGAAGTGAATATACATGGAAAGGGGAAACCTAGGAGGGAATCATAGGAAGGAAAATAGTCAGCTAGAGATTCTGAACAGGTGGCAACACCCTGACACCATCAAATCACACAGAGCTTAATGTAAACACAGAACTTCCTCTCTGAGAACAAAAGTGGCAGAAAAATGTGACACCCATGCCTCCCACAATCAAAATAAATCCTCCTACAATCTTAAAAGAAACTAATGCAAAAATGTAGAGCAGGGGTAGGCAGCCTATGATAGGTGGAGATCTACCTGAACAGCATTGAAGAAATCAAAAATCACCTGGGTTCAGCACCCTTTTTTTCTAAGAAATGAACTAGCAAGGCTTAACTATATAGTAAGGAAAAAGACAAATACAGTGTAATAAACCAAATGTCACTGTAAAAATATAAACTTAGCCTACTTTAAAAGTGGACAGTGTCAGTCAGTAGAGCAGTGGATGGTGTCAGTAGAGCAGTGGACGGTGTCAGTAGTTAGTGGATGGTGTCAATAGGGCAGAGGTTGGTGTTAGTTGGACAGCGGATCTTGTCAGTAGGACAGTGGACAGAGTCATTAAGTAGAGCAGTGGATGGTGTCAGTAGAGCAGTGGACGGTGTCCGTGGGCAGTGGATGGTGTCAATAGGGCAGAGGTTGGTGTCAGTTGGACAGTGGATGTTGTCAGTAGGACAGTGGACAGAGTCATTCAGTAGAGCAGTGGATGATGTCAGTAGAGTAGTGGATGATGTCAGTAGAGCAGTGGACAGTGGTGTGTCAGTAGGGTGGACAGTGGATGGTGTCAGTAGAGCCGTGGACGGTGTCAGTAGAGCAGTGGATGGTGTCAGTAGGGCAGTGGATGGTGTCAATAGGGCAGTGGATGGTGGCAGTAGGGCAGAAGACAGTGTCAGTAGAGCAGAGGATATTGTCAGTAGAGCAGTGGATGGTGTCAGTAGAGCAGAGGATATTGCCAGTCAGTAGAGCAGTGGATGGGGTCAGTAGGGCAGAGGACAAGTTCATAGAACAGTGGACAGTGTCAATAGGGCAGTGGATAGTGTCAGTAGTTTTTTATTATTTTTCTGTTATTATTTTTTTTAACTATTTTATTATTTTTTTACAATACTATTTTGTATTATTTTAACTATTTTGTAAGAGCACCATTTGGGGGGGGGGGGGGGGGGAGGTTGGTGAATTATCAGGGGTCTAAAGAGACCTCAGCTGCATTGGACAGTGAATGAATGGTAAGTGCTCTGTGCTGAGCGGCTTCACGTTCATTCACAAACTGAAGCATAGTAAACACAGTTTACTATGCTTCAGTTATGAGTGAACACAGTCAGTGATTGGTACCGAGGAACTAAAATATTACACATTTACCAGCACCTTCCCTCGCTCTCTGTACTGAAATATTCCTTGCAGTAGTTGGCCGGAGAGGAGATAAGGGGAAGCTGGCAGTTCTGAAAGGAGGTCCAGGCAACAGAAGGAAGAGGAACCTGGAGAGGAGGGGGAAGGGGGTGGCATTTAGTGAAACTGATGGGCTGTATTTTCCTCCCTGCAGCAGCTGAATGTAGGCAGAGGAGGAGAAGCAGGCATTCAGCCGCTGCAGGGAGGAAAAATGCAGCCCATTGGTTCTACTTCTCCAGTTCTGGTGTCAGCAACCAAGGGACGCTATTGGTGGGTAGATCACAATCGACTTGTTGCCGACCCCGATGTAGAGGCTTCTATTTTGCTGATTTCTTCTGAAAATGCTAGCTGCCTGGCTGTCTCTAACTTCAATATTTTCCTTGACCCAATAAAGTGTAGATCTACTGAAGGGAAGTCAGGGCTCATGATCTACTTATTTGCTTTTGGTGAATGACTGAAAGTATTGAAGCCTGGGTGAATAGGACAGCTAGAAAGGTAGCATTTGCAAAGGTAGGTTT